CACTGGCAGAAAAGATGTTAAATTAATGTTTGCATGGACCATACTTTTTGTAATAAAAAACATTACATGCAATAGTTTGAAAGATTATACAGCAGAAGTTGTGGGGGGGGGGGGGAGTATCATTTTATGACCTTGTTCACAGGAATTCTAGTTCGTTCAGGTATAATGTGCTCAAGGTCACAGAATCAGAGAACATGGACACAAGGGCCAATACAAGTGAAATATCTTTCATTTAACATGATCATGATCACAAAATGCCTTTCAAAGGATGCAAACATTGATTGAAACTGGGATACTGACAGTTAAACAGAAAGTCACTATGACAGCTCAAATAATTAAGTCAAACCATTTTAAGCAGGCATGTAGTTATCAGACTTGGGTTGGGTTGGAGGGTCCCCCCCCCCCCCCCTTTTATTTCCAAACATAACCTTTTACGATTGAAAATGTTCACTGAAAGGCTGGTAAATTAAATTAATAGATTGATCTTTAATGAACTTGTTCTATGACACTTCAAAATCCAAAATATAAAGATGTGTTTCAAATTTATCCATTTCCACAAAACCAGGTACATGTCAATATGTATTTGCAGAATGGCTTGCGATGATAATTAATGCAAAACATGTTTATTGATATCAATTAAATTCCAAGAAATCTCTGTCAATGGTTTTTTGTTTTATTTAAAGCAAGTTTAAGTTTGTGCAATATGTAATTTAAAACATGTTGTTTTTGTTCTGTCTAAATCTATATCAGCACATCCCAAATGTATATGTAATATGTGTGTAGCTTTGCTTTTCTTACCTCATCCAATTCTGTTTCTGTTTCTTTCTGAGTTTGGCTTCAAAAAGTTGAATTTCATTCTACAAACAGAAGTACACAACACTAAATTGAGATCATATTGATTTTAAAATTTTTTAAATTTAAAACCTTTAAAAAAAGGTCAACAGGCTCTAGGTTTTAAGTTTGTCAAATCACTTATTATGTTTTCATTTCTTTCTATTAACACCCCAAGAAAAATCAAAGTACTGAAAGTACTGGAAAGCGCTAAGCAATGTTTGCAATTTGACATTCATCAGAATTGTTTTGAATTTAAATTGCCTATTGTATTGAAATAAGTAATATGTTGACAGTGCAAACGCTAGGGGCGAGCACAGTTGTTTGACACACATTTACTTAAACCACAAGAGGATATATTTGAAGATTCGAGATTGTGACATCCCATGACGTCATATATATACGTTGCTATTTAAGGTATGTCACTCGTTAGCTTTTAAGAAAAGTTCAGTAATAAACTCTCACTTCAAAACTATTTATTACAATTTCATTTTCTATAACATATTTGAATTATACAAATTATAAAACATTCAATTTAAAAACTGGTCATAAAATCATAAAGAACAAGATTTATGGGGGACTCAGCCCTAATGTAGATTTTCCAAAGGGTTTCGAAAAGTTTTGGAATTCCATGGAATTCCAAACATTTCCATACAAGAGTCTAAAAGTGTTTTTGGAATCTTTTGGAATTTGAATAACAAATTTGGACTTAGACATTTTGAGGTTTGGAAAGTTGTGGAATTCTATGGAAAAGCTGATAAAATGAGAAACTTAGACATTTTCTGCTCTGGAAAGCTGTGGAAAATAACTTAGAATTTTTTCTTAAATTGTCAGCTCATAGTACAATTACGTCGGGCTCGATGAACAATTAATTTAAACTACAGCCCGCCAAAATTCAACAATTCGGCTGCCATGTTGTTGGACAGAAGGAAAGAGAGTGTCACGTAGAAGGGAACTGCTGTCATTATTAGCTTGGAATGGAATTTGTATTTTGACAAAAGATGCAGACATTTTAAGACCCGGTAGGTACAATGTACAGTATTTTATGTGTCCTTGAAGTTGAATGGATAATTGACTGTTCCTCAGTCTGGGCACCACACACATAGAATGCCCGACGATGAAACCATTAGGGCGAGCGCAGTTTCATTTCTGTAATAATTATTGTACAACTCTAAACATCTCTTATCAAAATATGTTTGAACAATGTGTGGATTTCAACCCAAATTTCCTCTGTTCGTACATGTCCTTAGACCTCGCTATATATGCTAGTGGCACGTTGCCAATTGCACCACGACAGTCCATGTTACATCACAGGGGCTTGCTCCCGGCGTGTAATAATTATTTATTTTAAAAAAATCATATACGTTAATACTAAAACTACACAAGGGAGGACGCCATTTTGGACCCCTTCCTCGCTTCAACTCGCTCTTTAGGAAAGTTGATAGGGACAGAAACGAAAGTAACCTCGGCGTTTTACATTCGAATACGGAATTAGAACGCGGTTTTTTCAAATTTATAATTAGCAGCTGTGTTAACTAGTAGAAAAACCCCGAGATTTTCGAATGTGTTTTCGTTTTCTGTCCCTATCAACTGTCCTAAAGAGCGAGTTTGGATTATTATTAGTCTGAAGTGTGTATTGTAGAGGCTCCAAGGGGAAAATTTAAGCATT